GGAGAGCAAGCTCAAGATCTGCCTACCCTTCTGCAACAGTATGCGGTCCAGTCGTGTAAAATAAGAAGGGTGAGCACGGATCGGACCAGCGAGTGGTAGGCATCATGCACGTGCACTTTTAGGGCGCACCGATACGGCCGCATAGGTGTGAGTGTGTGATCATGCTCCATGCAGACATTCCTCTCTGTCTCACACCAGGGTAGGATGTATCTCAATCCCAGTCCCATCCTCCCAACCCATTCTCAACCCCCCCCTCCCCCCCCCCTCTCTCTCTCCATCCCCACTTCGCCTCTAATCCCCTCCCTATTGATCCACGGCTTATGCACCCTCAACCCTTCCCTAGCCCGACTGTGCGGCCGCCATGCCATACACGCACACATCTCCTCCATCGCATAGCATAAGGATGAAGAGCAAAAGCGACAGGTTTTTAGGCTGTCCCCAAAACTGTCTCTGCCCAAAGGAATTTTTCGGGGTCTTCCTCTGCCTACATTTTCTATACGTATTTTAACGTGGCTACACTGACGATTAAGAAAAAACTTAGAAGCAGAAAACGTTGCAAATAATGCATAGCAAGCTTTGTAATATAAAACTAAAATTGTTTGGAAAGTTGAACGACGTTAACTTGATTTTCTTTCAGAGCAGACGATTTTACAGTGTGAAGCCAGCCGGGAAGCTTGCTCCTCTCGTGAAAAATCTCTCGGCCCATCGCACTGACTGCCCTGTGAGCGTTTCTCGGTCCAGCCGAGCCAAGCGGTCCGAGATGCTGCTCCACCAGCCATGCCATCCCGTTTCGCCTCTCAGCCAGTTGGAGAAACATTCCAACCCCCAGAGGCACCATTCACCAACCCCCCTCCCCGTCCCCGCCACGCCCACCATCACCCCCGGCCCCACTGGAGTGGCGGGGGAGGTGCAGCAGCAGCCACCAGCCACACCCCGTAAAATTACAACCCTTGCAAAAGGGAGGCCAAGGGTGCAAGTATTGGCGACTGTACCGGAGAAAAGGTTCGAAAACGAAAAGGTGAAAAATTACACCACAACATTGCACCGTAAAAAGGCGCAAAACGCAATAGGAAACTTTCCCAAAAATAGTAGACTAGATTTTGAACTTTGAAGGATGGAAAGTGTCACCAACGGAGTTGGTGGTCCACATACAACGGGGGAGGGGAGAAGGAATAG